GAGGATTTAAGATTTAAAGGGCCTAATCCGGGCTTGAGCTCACCCATAGTGAAATTCAGGTGTCGGAAATTCAATGTGACTCCCACGTGGAATGTTCGATCAAACATGAACTCGCTCTTTAATTTTGATGCGGACAAACCAGCCATCCAACGATAAAGAACTACAAATGAAAGCATTTTAAATGAGAAATGGTAAAATTATACACCTCAATGTTTTGTCGAGTATTCTTCACCACCAGTAACAACTAAAATCAGTTAGTTTATCTCACAGTCTCTTATAAAGAACTCTCCGTAACTCATAAAGTGAGGCCATAAGTACTCTTGAAAGTAATATGTAGTAAAACGGAACCCTCTAAAAATTGCCTGAGTCGAACGGGCCACAGCCCCCCACTTCTTATTTTCTTTAATATTAGAAGGAGATCAAAGGACCAACAATATAGTTTAGTCAATAGATCATTGTGAAAAATGTAGGATTAACATTTGAATGTAATTTTTATTGGAACAATTTCACCCGGAGTTTTAAAACTTGTCGCGATAGTATATTTAAAATCTGAAATTTTCATTTATTTATTTGAGTAAGCTTGCATAAGAAAATGTGATTGAAGAATCTCTCGACTTTGTCAATTTTCTTTGGGCTAAAAGCGTACGTGAGATTTTGTTTTCTTTTTTCTGTCTGACGTGACGCCATATCAGACTTAGATGAAAAACTAACATGATTGAAGATTTAAAAAATCAAATAAATAAATAAATAAATAAAGAGATTGAAAATTAGAACAAATCCAGAATGAGAATTCTGGTGTAACGACCGCCTACCATCACATCACTATCACTTGATGTCCCGCGAACGAAAAAGAAAACAGATTAAAAAACATCAATCAGAATTTTCGTCATGGAAAAAGTCACTCATGAAACAAGCCCTCGCGCACATTCACCTTCCATTTGCATGCATGTTTAACAATCATCTAACCAAACGAAAGGAAAAGAAGAAGAGAAAAAAAGAAAAAATCAAAGCTAGGGCTCTCTTCTCTAAATCGATCCGTAGAGAATATTCACCGAGGGATCTTCACGACGTGAACGAGCACGGTGATTGAAGGCAAAGAAAATATATACGAATTATCTCGGACGGCACATCTCGCTTTCGCCTAAGTAGGCATGTGCCCCCCACTAAGGGCTTTTCGCATCATCGCGGAGCAATATCGAGTGACAATATAAAAAAATAATTAAATAAAGACAGTGTTTTGATTTTGTTTTTTTTTTTTCGCGAAAAATGAATAATTTGAAAAATAGCATCCTAAAAACGATTGCTTGTATCGAAATGAATGAACCAAAAAATATTTCCATCGTGCACGAAAACATATACACACAAGTTGTTGCAAATAATGCAAATATTTTTGCATCAACTAATTATTACGAGCGATAAAACCGATCATTTTCAAGAATATACTTTCTGGATCATTTATTTCCCGTGTAACAAACGGAGCCTTTGTAGGGGGGACTCATTTCAGTTGCCGACGCATGAATTTGAAACAATCGTGCGTAAGGAAATATAGCTGTGGGGTTACTCGCGATCTTTTATGTTGGTCCTAGCCGGGATCGATCTTCCACTTTTTCAGAACTGGTATCGAATTTGGTGTGCCTACTACGATATGTCCTAGGCAACGTAGGCCTAATGAGTCCCGGTGCCCAAATCCGCTAGCCGGGATTTGGTTGCCGGTATCTTATGATGTTCGAGACAAGATGGTACATGCGCGTACGTGGAATTGGGGCGAGGTTGATTGGATTGACTAGGACTTACACTCGAAGCAAAATTTCAACTCGGGCATTGATTTCCTTCGAGAGATTCCACACTAGGGTTTGGATACCTTCATGATTTCCCGTTTGCATGGGAGGATCTCCCTGACGTCATAAAAAAAAAACTTTAGTAGGCAATCGGTTAACCTTATAAACAAATCGAGCTTATAAGAGCTTAATCGAATTTTTCAAAATTCAAATGTAAGATTTTACGCGGATTGTGTAGACCACAAACCTTTAAGAAAAGAGACGGGAGAAATTGTCCGATCAGTCCTGAATATATTATACGGATGCCGATTTAATCCTAAATTTTTCAATTTCTTCAATTTTGTTATAAATCTCCACGGGAAAATTTCAATGTAGACCTTCCGACCAATTTCTGCCGGAAATCGTGGCAGTGTGCCACAGAGGAAGGTTAACGATTTTCCGGTGAATTAAACGGAAGGGCTACATTGGAATTTCGTGCAATGGTTGAGGACTAAATTGTTAAAATTGAAAAGTGTAAAACTAAATTGGCATTTGTACGATAAGAGTGTGTTTGGTAACATTTCTGTTCTCGGGAACAATTTCTTCTCAAAAATAGCTTTTTTCTATTTGTATTCCCTGGACGAGTTTTTGAGCAGAAGAACGCGTTTGATAACTACACAAAATTTCTATTTTCTGAATAGAAAAGGAATTAAAAAGTGTTTGATATGACCCTAAAAAAATTTTGTGACATAGAATTTTTTTTAGTTTTTCGATAATTTTCTGAGATTTTTCTAATATTTTGATTTCTTTTCTTTTCTTTTTTTCCTCCCTTCTTCTTCCTCCTCTAGCCAGTTGCCAAGCCTCAGTGATGGCAAGTGACTAGCTAGAGACAAGGACCTCGCCGGCCTCAGGTGAGCCTTAAGTTGACCTCGCGATGGCTAAGCGAGGTGCCTCGCCAACCATCGCCAAGGCCGAGCGACTAGTTAGAGGAGGAAGAAGAAGGAAGGAAGGAAGAAAAGAAAAGAAAAGAAATGACTTTGTTTTGAGAAATTGTTCCCGGAGATAAAGAAGTCGATTGTTTTTTTACTTCTTATTTCTGTTCTAAATCTATTATGTGGCCACTTTTCTGTTCCGGAGAATAGAAAAATTAACCAAAGTTACCAAACAGGTTTCTGTTTCGGGGAACAAAATAACAAAAAAATGGAGAATTAGGAGTGTTACCAAACAGGCCCTACGACTTCGTGCGAAGAAGTTTCTTATCGACAAGTTGTTTTTTTTTTTTTTTTCTTCCTTTTCATTTTGTGAAAATCGGAAAGAAAATAGCGGGGGGGTGGGGGGCGGTGCATGTGCATGTGCATGTCCACAACACCATCCCCCATCAGTTAAAACGCTAAAAACACCAACGAATGGCCGGCCAAACTCCACGATCCGACTCTGGCCTCCTCTTTTCGAGGAATGTTTTACCCACCATCATGTGATGGCCCATGTAACATGTAACCAACCAGTGCGCGGTGTGCTCTGTCTTTCAAAAAATGTCCTTTCTCCCATAGTTCTCACGAGGGTCCCCTCCCCTTCTCTTGATATTCACTTTTCACCCCCCCAACAAATCCCAATATTTATCTTTCTGTCACGTCCTGACATTGAGCATCCATACTGAACGTGATGTACTCGTGCAAGTTGGGATCGACCGGAGGAAATTCAGGTGAGAATTAAGAACGTGATTTACTCGTGCAAGTAATAATCTAGATTTAACACTTGATGAGGGATGATTAATTTGACGATAAGCATAGGCCGCGGCAGTCGCCCAACCGCCGCCGCCGCCATCTTCATTGCTCCAACGATGCCTCGTCGTCGTCGTTGTCGATCCACTGTCTTTGTCGCTCCCCCATCTTTGTTGTCGGGACGCGCTAAGGTCGCTCGAGGGCCACGACATCGGACCTACTCGGTTGGAGGTGGGGTTGCAATGCTGCTCGAACAGAGAGAGAGATATATGTCTGTTGCCTAAATGGACGAAGAGGACAAGCGTTAAAGACAGCAATCGACGGGCGATACTGCCGGATACGACAGCCACGGTAGAGGGGCAGTGCTGAGAGAGAGAAAGGCAGAGAGAATAGGGAGAGGGTGAGTTCGATTCTCTCGCGTGCTTAAGCTAAGTTTACGTGCGCATGATGCATATCTTTGTTACTCCCATACTGAAGGCTTATTCGGAGAGAATTCTCCGTTCAGCGGACCGGAGGAAGATACGATACATTAACACGGTGATTACCGACACCCGATTCACAAAGAGATCACGTCGAGTCCGCGCTCGACAACCATTCATCGATTCCTAAGCCCGGAATGGCAAAACAGGAAAAAGAAATCGACAGAAAAGATTGATGAGAGGAGGAGGGAGGGGGCAGGTTTTGCAATTTCCAAGAAGTAGAGGGATCAGATTCTCAAGAACCGGGTAAGAATATAGATCACCTCATCCTCGCGTGCTTTCAAGAATCTGGGGAGGACTGGGGTAAAAGAAAAGCAGTCACATGGCGGATGAAATCGGCGATGAGGTCAGTCTCAGTGGATGATGCCCCCTTCGTGCGTGGGCCTCCGACCTGATCGTTACCAGACGTTCGTTCGTACCGTCCCTGCTCCGTTGCCCGATGGGAATTCTTCCCCACCCCTTCCCTTTTCCTACACGTGAGGCGTTTCTGTCTCAGATCAAGGACATCATCTCTCAGCTTTTGTTTACGTCCAACGTTACGGCATGGACCTTTGTCTCGGCGCAGTTTGTACGTCTGTTTTGCGAATTCGAACCGAGCGAGCGACCTCCGGTCCCCGAGCTGCGCGGGCAAACCGATCATGTCGAGCTTTGTTTTGAAGCTCACTTTCAAGTTTTCGTTTTGGTTCTGGTTTGGGAGGATGGAGGGAGGACCACTGAGGCGAATACCTCTGTAGTTATACACGTCCTGATAGTAGTAAAGTAGCTAGGTCCTCAGAGCAAATGCAGTTTTTGATGCCTCATGCACATTTAAACTCCCCCTGTCGTCCAGGAAAATGGTCGAGTTCATAAAGGACGCGGTTCAAAGGAATTCAACATGTCAAATGGAGTCGTGGTCGAAATATTAGTTGAGATCAATGTTCGCCATCTGTTTCATTGTTGCAGTCATTAAGCCTGAAGAGAAATTGCGCACGGCCCTATAAGAACCGGCAAAAACGTTCGAATTAACATATCCATAGCAGAGGCATCTCATGAAAGCGACTCGATAGCAGAACCTCTAAGGGGACATAACTAATGTTATTATTGACGACAAGGCACATCGCACCGTCGAGCCAGTAAACGAGTGCATCCCTAATCCTTAGCAAATCGCCGTAGTCGACTACAACCGCCCCGAACCTCACATTACACATAAGAAGGTCGCAACATGGAAGCGAGAGAGAGAGAGAGAGAATGAGCTTAGTTAGGATAGTGATTGGTGTCTGATAGGGAGAGAGGTCTCTTAAGTAGCCACCCAACATGGCTTGGGCTTCCAATTCATGGCTGCACCTTCCTTGCACCTCACCATGCTTGGCCTCAAGCACTTTCCGTTTCCGATTTCACCCCCGGCAAACCCGCCATTTCCCTCCATGCCCTTACCTTCCTCCTCCTCCTCCTCCTCCTCAAACTCTTCATAGTCAAAGTCTTCTCCTTCCACCGTCACATTCACTTCTTCTTCTTCTTCTTCCTCTGCCTCCTCACTCTCTGCCTCCACTTCCTCTTCTTCCTCGTCCTCGTCCTCCTCCTCTTCTTCAGCTTCGGTTTCGGGGGCATCACTCTCCTCCGAGAAGCGAACCCTGAGACGGCCGTGGCTCCTCTCCACTTGGAAGAAGTTGCAGGGGGACGACACCACCACCGCCTCCACCACCAGCCTCCCCCCCTCCCGGCGGGACCGCACCTCGACCCCCATGGAGCCGCTGACAGACGTGAGTGGGGGCGGGAACGAGCGGCTCTGGCTAGGCTTCTTCCTCGCCGGCTGAATTGCCGGGCGATGGTAGCCGTCCCTGCCTCCTCCGGGCGAGAGGAGCGGGGCATCGCCATCGCTGACGTCGCTGCCGGTCTCGCTTCCAAGCGACTCGGTGCACATCTCGAGGCTCCGGTCGCTGAGGAACGAGGAGGAGCATTTCACGAGCGGGTGGACGTAGACGGCGCCTTGCTCGCCCTCGCCCTCGCCCTTCTCATCCGCGTTGGCGAAAGCGTGCAGGAAGCTCCGGTCCGCGGCATCAGCGCCCGGCTGGGCCTCCGCCGCCGCCGCCGCCTTCATCTTGGCCGCGGCGTCGGAGTCGGCGGACGGTCTGCGCGGGGCGAGCTTGAGCCTGAGAACGCGCGGCTCGACGCGCCTTGACTCGAGGCATGATTGCAGGCCCTGGCACACGCTTGAGGACATTTGTTCTTGTTTTTTTAGAGGCTCTGTTTTCTCCTTATCCACAAAATTACTTAGTCTGGTTAACTGATGGAAAACTAGAGCGCGAGAGAAACAGGGGAGATGCAGAGCAGGCCTTGTGGTTGGAATCGGGTTGAAAAAAAAAAGGGGTTCTTTGGACTTATGTGATGGAAATTGAAGTAAGACAGCAGGGCATTCTTTAGAGAGAGAGAGAGAGAGAGAGAGAAGAGGTGGGTTGGGGAAAGTGAGGAAGGAGTGAACATGAGAGAGGAGTGAAAGGGGGTGGAGGCTGAATTTATAGGGTAAAAGACGGGGAGGGAGAAGGGCGGTTGCAATGGAGCTCCCTTTTTGTCCTGTTGCCTCTCCAGCTCTCTTACCATGGTCCATGGTGAATGGAGGAGGAGAGAGGCTGAACATTTCATGGTAGCATTCATCTATGTGTTCTAGCCTATGCTGTCGAGTAATCACGACGACCAAACAGCTCATAAAGCGAGTATCTCTCCACTAGATTTGCCACGGCTCGAACCGATCCTTGCTTGTTAATCGACCCGAAGTGAGTATCGAGGATCGCGACCTTTGCAAGTATGATTCGTTGCGGGAATCGGTAGATATGTCAAGTGAATTTAAAGAGTTCGCGCAATATGAAATTATCGTAAAGGTAAAAGGGTAACTCTAACAGTATACAGGTTTTGATCTACCACCTTAGACCGGGAGTAGTGCTACAATTGCTCAGAGCATTGTTTGGTAATTGGGTTTGTGCGGTGGTAAAGCGGGAACATGATGAAGGTGGGATCAGTTCTTTTCTTTTCTTGGAAAGAAGTGGGGTTAAGAAAATCAAAAGGAAAACAAAACCAGCCTTCGACAGAACTTGCCGCTTGTTGAAAATAACTTCGAGGATTCCACATCAATTCATCTATCAAACCCAAATAGTTACCATGAGAAAAATTCTAGCAGTGGTGAAATTGTCTGCTGTTTTATTCTTCTGAAGGTGGCAGAAAAGTTAAAACTAAGCACACCGATTAATTAATGAAGTTTGAAACTTTATAAAGTGAACCTCTTTTGCTTTTTGGTTAACTTAAGAAGTAAAAAAAAGGACATCGCGAGAATGAGCAGTGAGGTAGGAATCTCTTTGGTACGGATCTAAGGGAGTGAATTGACCCACCTCTTTTGACCGTTGTAGAATAAGGGTCCGTTTGGTAAGTTGCCAAATAGTGAAAATTTCTGTTCTTTTATTTCCAAAATCAGTTTGGGAACATAAAACTGTTTGTTAAATTTTTTGTGCCCGGGCACAAATTTGCAAAAAATTATTCCCAAAATCAGTTTTGAAACAAAATCAAGAAGCAAAAAAAAGTAGCTTCTTGATTTTGGAACAATTTTTCCATTTCTGATTCTTCTTGGTTTTCTTCTTTCTTCTTGGTTTGTTCTTCTTCTTCTTTTTGGCCTGCCGCCGGCCGCTGGCCACCGACGACCAGCCACAAACCAGGGCCGGCGAGGGCGTCGCGGCCCTCGCCACCTGGGCAAGGGCGGCTTGCGGCCGTGACGCCCTCGCCGGCCCTGGCGTGTGGCCGGTCGCTTGCGCTGTCGACTAGCCATGGCCAAGGAACGGAAGGGAAAGAAAGAAAAAAAAAAGGAAAAAAAAAAAAAGAAAGAACTATTTAAAAATTCAAAATATTATTAATAATTAATAAAAAGAAATTTTGTGTAGTTACCAAACACATTTCTTTTCTTTTTCTATTCTAAGAATAGAAATTTTGGGCAGTTACCAAACCCCTTCAAATGCTTAGAAATTGTTCCCGGGCACGGAATAAAAAGGAATCATTTTTTAGCAGAATCAGTTCCCGGGCACAGAAACGTCGCCATGAGCACCCTAAACCACCTCTCTCTTAGCCGCTCTCTTAGATGGGTGATCCATAGAAATGATCACAGGACAGGCTCGAACGAGGCTCGAAGGTTGTGCCTAACGTGTTGCCCAATCCTGCCCGCTACATAAAATTTACATAGAAGTTTGCACGCTAGGTCGGGCTAGGCCTTGGCCAAAGTTGGGCAGCCAAGGCTTTCTCATGTAAGAACGTTGCTTGAGCGTGTCCATTTACCTCTAAGGCTTCGGAGGGCCAACCCCTCGTCAACCACCTCTTGTACACAAACTTTACCCATATACTAGTTATTTATACCGTGTTTTACTTGGGGTCATGCTCCCATTTCCTATTTTTTCCTCAATATCTTAGACGAGAAAAAGGTGGATGTTATTCATATATTGATCCATGCAATGGCTAGATTAAGCATGGAGAATTGAAAACTTTGACTAAGGCTTATCATTTTCCACGTACAATCTTGGTAAGAATGCCTGTTTCGGAATTCAAGTGTTTTATGGTTATGAAAAATTGTATGTACAACTGAATCGGCAATCAGGGCAATAGGCTGATAACAATTTTAGAAAAACAAAATTTTATCTTAGGCTATAAAGTTTTTTTTTTTTTTTTTTGGTAATCGAGATGTCCGGGCCAGCTTGCGCGCACCTCGACTATTCCTCGCGGGAGATTAGCACAGCAACCCACCGCCATGGCCCCCCACTTAAATCACAAGTGCTTAGCTGGGGAATCGAACTTGGGACCAGTGCGCCTAACCACACAATCGCAAGTACGCCCTAACCAACTGAGCTACCCATAGGTGGATTCTTAGGCTATAAAGTTTGTAAGTCGATAAGGTAATAAATTTTTTATTAGCCTAATAATTTTATGCATGTAAGTGCATTCCGGGTACAATTGAATACTCTAAAATTTGGCAGCAAAGCCAAAAAGTATATTTTGTTTATTTTTAATTATAAACAAAGAACCCCTTAAGTTGATTAACATCTACTGTATCTTCATTAAAATCATTCATGTGATTAATTAATGTATCGTTTATTATACTAAACAATGAAACTTCCTGGCCAGTACCATCGGTATCATTCTTTTAGAAAAATTAACCATTTCGTCCCTTTATCAGCCAAAATAATTGTAATAAAAATGCATCACACCATAGAGGGATGATTTCTAATTATGCAGCTATAGGTTTGCATTCTTACCCAATATCGAAAGCGACATCTCAACCGCCTCATGACATCCAAGTTAGAGGGATATAAATTGAACAGGGCAATCGATATACATCTTTTCCCCATAGCCCCGAGGCCGTGCCTAACGTATATTACAAAGATAAATATCTTTGACTCGAACGAAAGATAATAGGTTAAAACCATAGAGATTATTATGTTGCCGAGAATTTGTTTCGAAGGACTCTTGGACATCCACAGCTCAATCATATATTTCATACTGCCTCGAGAACCGACATTAAATGTTTTTGTCATGTCAATGAGGGCCGATGAAGCATAAATTATAAGGAGAAACTTCCAAACCCTAATTACTATACCCATCACTGAACCCTCATCTAAATTAACTCTCTATTTTTTTTGTCAACTTATGTTGGGTCGCTATCTCATGGTCCTATGGATCGAAACATCAGATTAAATTAGCCTTCCAAATTTAGTCAAAGACAAAACATTAATTAACGTAGGGACCAGAAGAATTACTTTCTTGATCCTACACACCTGATCATAGGTCTGACCACATGCCTAGGGGTCGAAAACCGTACTTAGAGGGGGCAAGCAAAGCCAACTAGCAACGCGAATGACAATGGGGAAAAAAACTTAGATTTGGGCAACGAGTCCTATGTCGGAAAGAAGACAAGAATCTCTCTCCCCCCCTCTCTCCTTTAAACCAAACATCATGTCATACACCCTCTAAACCTTCTCGTTTCCTAGCATGAAATAAGAACTTCAGCTCAAAATCTATGTACCGTATATACTGTCTGCTGCATTGGGAGCTAATGCACTGATAATGGACTAGCTTAGCTCTTTGGCCCGACAAGACTGCCATGTGAAGGTAGCAAAAACTCCCTGACAGATTTCTAAGTATAAGAAAGTGGTTGCACCCCCATTGAGCCAATGAGCACTTTAATTTCCATCTTCGTATGTAACTAAAAATGGGTCAGGTTAATACGTCTGCTGGATTACCGATATCGTATCGAATCTCGGCCATACATCATTGACATGTGAAACTTTAAAACCGTGATCCAACATTGTTAAACTATAAAGACATGATGTCGTCGGGGAATGATAGACTGTCAATTTAAAAACATCCACAATAGAACGTTTAAAAGCACCGACCATATGCAAAGCGAGCCATAAGTGCACTCCAATGTCTAAGAATATCTCTTGCTTTTTGGATGAGCCAGTGCATGAAGTTTCGCCACATTCTTTAAATAATGATGGGTCTTATGAGGGCATAATGTAACTTAAATTCCAAAACTTGCACAGCATTCTATTAAGAGCAAAAGTTATGAGCATGCCCTCGTTCTTTAGCTTTATTGATGTCTTTTTTGAAATAGAAAATTTCTGTCACCTGATGTCTTAATAGAATGCTGTGCAAGTTTTGGAATTTAAGCTAAATTATGCCCTCATAAGACCCATCATTATTTAAAGAATGTGGCGAAACTTCATGCACTGGCTCATCCAAAAAGCAAAAGATATTCCAAAACTTGCACAGCATTCTATTAAGAGCAAAAATTATCAGCATGCCCTTGTTCTTTAGCTTTATTGATGTCTCTTTTGAAATAGAAAATTTCTGTCACCTGATGCAGAATGGCTAACTAAATGCCAAATGTGTACAGAACAGCTCATTAGTTGAAGATATTCAAAGCTTTGTTTATCTAATTTATGGATGCCAATGGTTATTAAAGAACATAAATTTCCCACTAACAATGTTGGGCACATGGAAAGTGCATTTTGTTCCCACTTCCAAGCAGCTATGCAGCTAGTTTGATATTCCCAATTTTCAAAACCAAAAAAGTTCAAGAATTGCTTGGACTACACACGTGTCAGCGTTATGAAATAATCTCAATCGAGTTTGGTCGTGAGCATGACTTGGCCACGGTACACCTGACACTATTTCACGGTCCAAATCATCAAAGATATATGTAATCCACATTGGGATTGCCCTTGCCCTTGTGGTAAAGCTGTTCTCATGCTTTTGACGAACGAACTGATGGCTGTCGTTTCGATTCTTGCCTTGGCTAACTGATATTAAAGTAGGGGGTCATGCTGATGGATTGTTTTTTATCAAAATCAACTGCATAGATCAAAGACCTAAACTTAACTAGTACCTAGAGTTTATAAGACGTTTCATGAGCCTCCAAATAACTGAATCTCTGTGCCGGTACCCCTAGCTTATAAA